TTTTTGCCATTTTTCAAATGTCGTGTAATCGGATTGGATTCTCGACGACAAATGAAATGGCCACGGAGAGCTTTAGTGAAGTATACTTCATTTTAAATCATTAAATTCACTAATTTCGTGGTCCGCTTGACCAATTAATATATTATAATTAATTAAGGTTTTTAGTTGAGATAAAAAAGTCAATGTCACGAGCTGACGGGAAGTTGGTGTCCAAATGGATCGAGGTCACGATAGCTCAAGTGGTAGAGCAGCGGCGTATCAAGCCGAAGATCGTGGGTTCGAATCCCGCTCGTGACATTGACTTTTTTATCTCAACTAAAAACCTTAATTAATTATAATATATTAATTGGTCACGCGGACCACGAAATTAGTGAATTTATTTTTAAAATTATATAAATGAATGCCATTGTTGATTTATATTTGAGGAAAATATCGCAGATCCTTCCTGTTATTTGTACCTATTAAATCGAATATTCTCAGTCGACGTTGTGTGGATGTCCAGAGTAAAACTAACCTCCCAAGCTATTTGATCTTCGAAATCCTACATAACGCAGCTTTTCGACATTATTTTAAATAGGACGAAGTGTTTTATCAAGCGGAGGGTGGAGCCATAGGCACAACATTATCGCCGATTGTCGCAGACATTGTTATTTATGGTTATGTTAATTTACAGATATAAATGTGTAAATATTTTACGCATATAAATTGTTGAAGGCCCTCTCCCAAATATTGTATAACTTTATACTGTTCTTCACTCGGACCAGTACCCTCATCCCTCATCTACGACACGTTTTAACTTCATAAATATGACATTTATGAAAAATTCCATCAATAGACACCAGTAAATTTTATCAAAATGCGTCATATATTTTCGGGATTATGTGCATATTTCTTTTCGGCTACCTCCAACGTACTCTGGAACTCATAGGATACTCGATATTAAGCCACCGGACCCCGCACATACTTCATTCACACAAACCCACGGCTAATACACAAATAAACAGCCTTATACACGAACAAACAAATACGTACATACACATTGTACGGCTACTTATGTATGAGGATGCCAAGAACTATCATAATGTAGGGTGTTATGCCTACTCGCTCCCTGTAAGGGGGCAAGGCGCGGCCCTCCTCGACCAATTGTAACACACTGAGCGACCTTTCTCTACAAGCTGGACACCTGCGCAGGTTTTCCCCCAAAAGCAGGTGTCCGTGTCAATCGAGTATGGCCTATCCTCAAACTGGCAAGCACGATCCCTTCGTTACGTCAGATCCCCGGCGGGCCATTTCTCAGTCGTGCTCTTCACAAGCAAGAGCTTCTGGGACAATCCGGCCCATCGACGCTGCGAAGAACCGACTAAAAGAGCTTCTTCCTCTCATTTGCATAAACTAATTAAATAATATTATCCGAAGCGTTAAGCCATGTTGTATGACAGGAATTACTTTGTTATATATATTTCATTATTTATGTACACTCTATAAAAGCAGTGAATACTCTTGCAAAATAACGTCGGGTCGGGGTTGTCAAGCAGTCACAACGTTAAGGTTTCAAGACGTTGTCTTTATTATTTCGATAAACAACACATTTTATAACTTTCTGTTATCACGATATTCCTGTTACAAAGTTAATTTTGTCTTGAATTTCTAATAAAACATTATTAGTGCTTCACGTGAAGTTGGGTCTAGAAACGAGGAAAAATCGTTGTAAATTTGGTCTTTCCAATAACACAGGAGACGCGAACAACGCTATGAATTAAGCTTACATTGCAAAAACTACAAATTAGACATTACTATGTAATAAACAAAATATAACCTTTACATTATCGCTTTCATTACCAAACTTGTCCTAGAAATATTATTATTTTCTATTTTATGCTTAAAAAAATTGAATCCAGTCCAAATAACGTTGATTATATAATTAATTTTTTAAATATTGCGAAAAAACAATTGTGATAGATTTTTAGTTGATTATATGAATATTACCCTTTGCACTACATGAGAGATAACACTTATTGTTGTTTCTTACTTAAAAACTTTTTTTTAAATTAATTTGTTACTTATACATGACTAAGCATGCACCAGTGGAACTCATTCTTTGAAAGGCCAGCCACTTTAAAAACAAAAGAGTCTCTCACTTATAAGGCCAAAAAATTGCACGAGCACAAAGTTTTCTTTACTTTTATTCTGGAATCAGTTGTAAAGTTCTTAATGTTGGCACACTTAAGAAAAAAAATTTCTAATATTAGACCCTTAATTTCATCAAATATTATTACCAATTTTACCAAAAAATGAAAATAAAAAGAAAGAATTGAAAAGGAAATCTCGCTTCCTTATTCCATTTGGGAACATTAGATTATTATTATTGGTATTAAAAAACAAAGCCATTCGTCTTAATTAGTATGATTTAGATGGGTCAGACAGCGTAAATGGCCTGTTGTGTGACAAGATAAAATCACAAAAAATGACAATCGTGCTTTAATCGAGTTCCTGTAAACATACACACAAAAAAATGTAATTTTATGCATTATTATATTCCTAACTAAATTACAAATTTTTAAATAATGTGTAGAATAATTTCAATTAAAAATCAATTAACACGTTAATTATATTATTGCTTCATTATATATAGTATCGCGATTCTCTGGTTTTAATAAAACAGAGCAGCAACCTTGAATTATGAGTCAATTTTAATTTTGAATATTATCAAAACTCAAAAAAAAAAAAGATAAGCCCACTATTACAAACTTAGAAGTTGTTGGTTTTGGGGTAAATATTAAAAATCACAGTTTTTTCATTTGAATCTTTAATTACTTAACTAATGACAATGTCTAAATAATAGAGAAATTTCATACAAATTACTCTTTACTATAAGCCAGTTAAATATATTTTCTTAATAATGAAAGTACTGACTGGGGTTTCATTTTAATTAAAAATTGTCGTCGAGAATCCAATCCGATTACACGACATTTGAAAAATGGCAAAAAGGAGGGAAAATTCAAAACGTGGGGTTGAGATAGGAAGTTAGTGTCCGAGTGGATCCAGGTCGCGATAGCTCAAGTGGTAGAGCAGCGGCGTATCAAGCCGAAGATCGTGGGTTCGAATACCATTCATGACACTGACTTTTTTATCTCAACTAAAAACCTTAATTAATTGTAATATATTAATTGGTCAAGCGGACCACGAAATTATGAATTTTAATTAAAATTAAAGTAAAGTAATTCCTAGCATACAGGAGGGTTTAACCTTCATCAACCTAACCTATTCTGGTATCGTTCACGTGGAGGCAGTGCACTTTACAACATATTTATTGTTTTCCCCAACAACTTTCATACAAAATTTGTGAGATTACTTCCAGGAATCTGGAAACCAGATCTAAGTAAAAATTTCTTATTATTGCGATATTATCATATCCATGTGTACAGGAAAATTCAAAAGCGCGAGGAGAGAGAAAAGAACAGCCTTCCTACTTTCCAAGGGGATCAGGTGCAGCGGGAGTAGCCGTGCCTGGATAGTCTCCTGATTTTTTGAGACCCTTGGTGTCCTCCATTTCTTCTCTGTAGCATTGCTTTCTTGGGAGCTATGTGCAGCAGGAGTGGCTGTGCTGAGTTGACCTCCTGATTTTTCGAGGCCCTCGGTGTCCTCCTTTTCTTCCCAGTAGTATTCCTGTCTGAGGCGATAGGAGCAGCGGGATTGGCTGTGCTGGGTTGGTCTCCTGATTTTTCGAGGCCCTCAGTGTCTTCCGTTTCTTTCCAGTAGTATTCCTGTCTGAGGCGATATGAGCAGCGAGATGGGCCGTGTTGGGTTTGTCTCCTGATTTCTCGAGTCCTAGATGTTCCTCCAATCACAAAAGCTAAATAGAATTTCGTTCGGTTCAGCGTTTCAACGATCAAAATCAAGAGGCCTCCCACCCTTGATTTTCGGCCTGTCCCTTTCTCCCATTACCGAGGTCTTGGCTAGCGATTCGCCAAACCGACCAGAAAGGGCCATGGAAAAGGGATCGCCGGAGACAAGGTCGATAGTGTGACCCTTCGCTGGGTCATCACAAGTACAAAAGGAACTGCGACTGGAAACCAAAACCACTAGTATAGATTTTATTTTACAATATTAAACAATTTTTTCCTAATTATTCTACGAGTTCTAAACATAAAACCACGTAATTTTACGTAATTTGTTATTTAGTTTAGTTCACGTTCCTTTCCATCATGTTATACTCGTCACATACCTCCCTTTTCTTCATTTCTAGTTAATTACATTTTCTGAGGGAAACCCTGGAAATATAATTCACGAACATGCCTTTGAAAAAATTGTTCCGCCTTCGAAAAAAGAAATTATAAGACACACTCTCAAATAATATTAATAAAATTATTATATTATATAATAATTATAAAATTATTATTAAAATTATTGAAATATTATTGGAATGTTGGTGACTGAGTTGTTACAAGGACCGATTCTCTATTATTAACGTTAGGGGATTGTCTTTGCTCTGGGAAATCGCTGGAAAATAATGGATTTTAAATTAGCCTAATTCTCTTTAATTAGACAAAGTTTTATTTACAATTGTACAATTATAACACAACACGGGAGTGAATCTGAAATTTCACGGCTAACATTGCGGTTCTAGCTTCGGTATTTTGCCATCTTCAATCGTACAAACAAACCACAAATGGAACCATGCGAAATGTTTAAACGCATCTAACAAATCAAAGCAGTCAGGATGAAAGTAAACCACCAACACAAAACAACATTGCTGTAAACAGTATAAATTGACAACATCGGATAAATGATAAAAGCACTAAAACAGATTGAAACTAAAAACCCAATATCGTACAGTATTTCGTATATAATTTTTACTTGCCAGCCATTGGAGAAAATAGGAACTACCGGTCTCGACAGATCTATTCTTAAATCAAAAAATAAACTAAAATAAAAAATTCGTCCGGCGGAGTGAGGTCGATTGGAAATTGTTCTTTTTTTTCTTTTTTTTCGGGGATTAGCATGTCGCTGTTTTTCTTCCGTCTGCATACGGTGCGCGCCTGGAGGCGGGAAGCGAGGGTTGGTCAGCGTAAGAAGCGCAACACAGGTGGCTCCGGGCTGGTGGTCGGTTGCGCTGGGACCCTGCCCATGCGGCGGCCCAACCTGAATCTCCACTCGTCCTCGATGTTCGAAAGGCCGCCGGTAACCCCCAGCGACAGCCTCGACGAAGTCGCCTTCAAAATACCGAGGTGAGTAAGTAAATTTTCAGGACTGAAATAAAATTAAATAAAATACAAATGGATTTATATGTACTGTTTGCAGCATTAGCCAGGAAACATTGAAAACAAACCTAATCATCCTATAATATCTACATATATAAAACAGTTCAGTGACAACCCACAAACCAAACCGCTGGATCGAAAGTGCTGACATTTCGATAGTGCGTTCCTATAATTACATAGATAGCGCTAAGAAAGTTAATATTTAAATTCCATCCCTACCTTTATACAGGGTGTAACAGTGTTAAATGTCAATACAGCCATGTTGAATTCGCTGAACCAAACGTAATTCAGTGCCACCATGATTAGGTTTCTATCTTGACTCTTCCCTGAGATATTAACCAAGACTGGCAAACAGACAAGACGTTGTAATGTGGAATTTTAATAGTGTTATAATTAAGAAACTAAAAAGCAAAAACGGAAAAAAGTGAAAAATGCGAAAGGTGGTAATTTTCAAACGGAATTGTTGTTACGTTAGGAAAATTTAATGTAGTTTGCAAAATTACGGTCAGATTTGTATTTTAATGAAGCTAGGATCTAAAAATTACGATTTTATGTAAAAAAATCTGATTTTACACTAAAATCACAAAAACGTTAATATCTCAGGAAAGAGTCATGATAGAAACCTCGTTCTGGAGGCACTAAACTAAATTTTATTTACTTAATCCACCTTGGCAGTATTGACATTTAACCCTGTAACGCCGTGAATATAAATCAGTTCCTTGATTGACATACAACGCACAGATCAAACCGCTGGATCTGAAGGGCTGAAATTTCGACAGTGCATTCCTATAATTACATGGATAATCGCTAGGAGAAAATTTTTTGAAATTCCACCCCTAAGGGATCATCGACAATTTTTTTACGATGTATGAAGAATTTGATAAACGAGATATTATATTAGAAAGCCAACCTACCAGACTGCATCGAATTAAAAAGGTAAATTAAAAAAGTCCGGCGTGAACGATGTTGCGAGTAAAACTAGTCTGACATAACTAACTGAATAATAATTGTTTAATGAATAGCTACCTACAAATATAAAATACAGTTTCATTATAAACAAATAATTTATTTCTTTATAGCAGTAGTTTTTAGAGAACGTACAGTATTTTTTAAAATATATTATATTAAAAAGGCTTACGTTGGGTCATTGAGTTAGCGAGTAAAGCTGAGACAAAAACTAAATTTTCTGAAAAATTTCTTATCATTTTATTCTGGTCAGAGAAGTTTTTTAACAGACTTATGTATGAGATAAAGTTACTTAATCGATGGTAACATCGTTAAAATAAATCAGCTATTTATTAATTACAAAGTATATAATGAAAACATTTCAAAAGTATTTTGCATATTGTGTACATATTTTGTAATTCTTCATTTTCGCATTTTACTTCAATGAATTTTCTTGCGTCGCATTACCCCACTGTAGTACAAGAGGCCTTTTTTCCTGCTTGATTTTTCTCTCTTCCGACAACCCTCCTTTGATCAACGGGAATAAAGTAAAGTTGGCACAGTACAACCCTCATGCACATTATTTGCATTTGACAAACGAGTCATTCTCAGAAATTAATATAGGAAGCTTCTTTCCTCAACCTTTTTCTATCTGGCACAGTCAATAACAGAATCTTTTTAAAGGAAAGAGTTAACGCCAACAAGAATGTAAAATTCGGATGTTATTTTTTATTATTATTTTTTGGTTCTGAGCATGATTGAAAATGTGTGGTGTTTAGTAACCGTTAATTAATGATTATTTGGAGATAGTGAGATGGGGTCTGGTGTGACGTAGGTTTAGAAAAACTAAATTCATTAATTTCGTGGTCCGCTTGACCAATTAATATATTACAATTAATTAAGGTTTTTAGTTGGGATAAAAAAGTCAATGGGACGAGCGGGATTCGAACCCACGATCTTCGGCTTGATACGCCGCTGCTCTACCACTTGAGCTATCTTGACCTCGATCCACGCGGACACCAACTTCCCATCATCTGACAACATTTTCTGTTCATGTTTTTCGTAAAATCCACGGTTCCTAGTAATTCTTATCTATTCTTATTTACAATTTTTTTTTAAATCAAAAAATTGTAAATTACTTATGTTTGAATCTTTGGATGACAACTGTGCCATGAGGATTTCCATGTTTAGGTGCTGAGGCCCGAAACGTTCATGTAATAGGCAAAATTGAATAAAATATTTCAACCACGGAGAACTTGGGATTTTTCAACCTTTGTATAAGAATTTTCTTTATCGTGCGAACGTTTCGCTCTTTATTGAGATCATGATCAGGACTCAATGTGTTTGTTGTACTTTGAGCCTGAAGATGATCTGAATAAAGATCGAAACGTTTGCACGATAAAGAAAACGTTTTTCTAAACCTACGTCACACCAGACCGCATCGATCTCTAAATAATCAACAATTCGCAATTTTGAAGTAAGAATATTTGTCATCTCAGATCATCCTGATTTTCTCATTCTCGGTTGTTTTTTCAGTAAGAAGCGTTCCTGCATTTCGCCAACTTCAGTTGGTCTAAGTGTTGTTTGGTCAGTACTGTCTATTTTAAACGAATGCAATGATCACTTCTAACCAATGTTTTCTTGTTGTGTCTTCTTAATATCATGTTTTATATTAAAAATACTACTTTAAATTAATACGGACCATGGTTAATTCTTCAAAGGTTTTAAGTTGGAGCAAAAGAAGTACCTGTCTTACCGTTTCTTCAGAAGCAAACTTGGCGATGTAAATCTATCTATCCTATCCAAGCTGGCTTCCCACAAGGGTGCATTCTTGGTCCTCTCACGCTATTTACTACTTACATGTATATTAGTTTAGAAACAATTCTTGCCGTTTTTGCTGACGGTACAGCCACTCTTTCACGTCATAAAGATCCAATCTCTGAATGCAGGACCCTTCAAAACAACGTACATTGCCTTAACTATCGGTGCAACAAGTGGAGAATCAAAATAAATGCAGAGAAGCACTAAAATATTATCTTTAATCTCATACATATTAGACTGCCACTAGTTTACCTTAACGGGACTTCACCTGAACAAATGACTTACTTGGAATTCGCACACAAAACTAAAAGAAACGAACTGAACTGACATTACAAGCAATCCATTAGATTTCGTGGTCCAATTGACCAAATAACTTTTTTCCATTAATTAATCTTTATGTAAGGTATTGGTTGAAAAAACAAAAACAAAAAAAACTGTCTGACGAACGGGATTCGAACGCCCGGTAGAGCAGCGGCGTATTTAGCCGAAGATCATGGGTTCGAATCCCGCTCGTGTCACTGGCTTTTCTATTTCAACCCATACCTTACATAATGATTAATTAATTCAAAGAAGTTATTTGCTCAATCGGACTACGAAATCTAATGGATTTAATAAGTAAAATAAAGTATATTTCACGAAAGCGCTCTCCGCGGCCATTTCATTTGTCGCCGAGAATCAAATAGATTACACGACATTTGAAAAATGGCAAAAAGGAGGGAAAATTCGAAAGGTGAGGTTAAGGTGGGAAGTTGGTGTCCGAGTGGATCGAAGTCACGATACTCAAGTGGTAGAGCAGCGGCGTATCGAGCCGAAGATCGTGGGTTCGAATCCCGCTCGTGACATTGACTTTTTTATTTGAACCAATACCTTACATAAAGATTATTAACTATTATCATGATATCAGAAGATCACTTACATACAAAATATTGATATATACCATAATTCTCAAACAAATGTGGACTTACGATATCGTACTCTGGAGATGAACTACGCATTCTATCTCCCAACATGTTGGGTCGTATTCAACTCATTTTTTATGTATCAATCCTCACCCTAAACCGAGACCTTAAGTCCTCCCTTTCTTCCAGAAGTAGAGAAAGCTAATGCAAAAAATTTCCTTCAATTCTTTTCAAACATCCCAATGCTTCGTGCTTCAGCTCAGTTCGACTACCATCTCTGATAATCTTCACCGTTGACTGAAACCCCGCGAGCTACGTCATGTCCTTTTTAGCGTCGAAAAAAATTGAAAACGTGAAGTTTTAATAGTCATTATTTATATCATCTACTTGGTGAATTCACCTCTTATGTATTTCATGTCAGTCATTTCCGTCTTACAGCATTTTTCTTGTTGTGATTGTTTTCCAGATATGAAAATCTATAAAAAGAAAAAAAAGTGCAAATGATATTGATAGGTTTCTGCTTTTGGCAGTGGTTCTCAAATGTCCATTGACATGAACGCGTTTCATTTTTTCGGTGTAAAATTTTCCGGGGCGGGTTTTGAAATTAAAGTGTCACGACTGTTTGCCAACGTTGGAAAACGTTTTTCTCAATTTGGGAAGCGGGTGAATCTGTTTAAAAGGGTCGAAGCTAGTTAGCAGCGCGAGTCAAAGCGGCTTATTTGCATGTCAATTGATTTCCGACGGCTTGCTAATTCGGCAAACTAAACTGCGTTAGGCCTTTCTAGATGATATTCAGGAATTGTTATTAAACAAAATTTGCCGGCGGATGAGTAACTTTCCATCAAAAATTGCTCTTTTAAATACATTTTTTTTATTAAACAGTTTAAATACAAAAACTTTTAGCAATTGTTTCACTTACACGTGTTTTGTTTTAAATGACATGAATAATTGAGGTAGTGTAATGGTTTATTTGACATTAGTTAAAGTAAATATAAAAAGCTTTGTTGAATTAAATTGAACCGCAGCAAAAGAGCTATCTTTTATATATTCTAGGTTATAAATTAATTTTTGACATAGTTCGTGACATTATTGTAGCCTGGGTTATATGCTTTTTCTTTGCTAATTTTTTCTTCATTTTGTGAATATTTGTTCCAACCTTTTACTGATTTATCATTCGCATAATCTAAATTCGTTACTGTGTACACGAATGTTCCAATTTTTTAAACCACATTCGACCTACAGTGGGGGCCAAAAAGGCGAAAAGCGGATATAATGTAATTTTTGGCGATTTTTCTATAATTG